GTTGGCGGATCTGTGGCTGCTTATGAGCGCCAACACAACCCACACCTCGTCTGGGTGTGCGTTGGCTACCGCAAATCGACATAAAAAAGCGCAAGAAATATACAAAAACAAACAAATTCAAAGTCAGCCAGACGAGCACAGAGCCATTAGGCTGGCGGAGAAAAAGCTGAGGTGCTTCCCAGTCATCAAATATTTAGCGATTTCCTCAATGAGTGTGCTTATGCATGCACACATACACTGCATGCATGCACACATATACATACATACATACATACATACGAGTATATACATATGTATATGTGTGTTGAAAGTCGCTAAATATCTGTGTGGTGGGTGTGTATGCAACTACGTTAATTAACATTTTTCTTAACTACACACACATACATACATATATGCAACCATGTGTTCATTTTCACGTGCCTCACAGGCAGCAAGACCAGCAGACAGACAGACTTTCCGGCTAATAGAGTGACTGACAAGCGCAGAAACATACATACATACATACACACATACATTTGGAAAGCAAGAATCTTGCCTCGGGCAGTTCCGTTCATTTCATCTTCGATCTTGATGTTTACTGATCACTCAATTTCTATGCAATTATTTACATACATATTTTTTTCATTTTTTTCTCTTATTTTCTGTGTATTTTTTACTCGCGCTGCTTTATTTACTTTGACGCGTTTCATGCTTTGCCTGCGTCTATAATTATTCATTTGTTTATTTATTTGTTTTCAAATCGCACCCAATTTGGCCTATGACGATTTGCAATGCTGCAAATTGCATATGTCTATATGTAGATATATATGTATGTATGTGTCGCCAGGCAAATAGTTGAGACGGCAGTCATCGATCGTGTTGTCAATTGATCTCAATCTAATCGCGTAAATCGCGTATGGTTTGGCAGATAATTAAAATGATGGAAAATTAGCGGTAAAATATTTGTCCTCTCTGTGGAGTGGTTGAGAGGAAATCGTAAACAGGAAGTGCTAATTATTGCACTTACATATATATATATATATATACATGTACATATGTACATACATAAGATGTGTGGGGATTTGATTTTCCTCCACTCCAAGGCACACAACCTTCGCTCAATCGAAAGATAAGCGTTCAACGAAAAACCCAAAAGTCCGCTGGCCGAAACCCCAATACCGATCGGGAGAGAAATATTTCAGGAAGCGTTTCACGCTCTCTATACGCATTGCATACAGCGCTTTTTCTAGTCTGTTTGACAACGATGAATCTGAAAATGGTAAAGGGTTACAGTCCTGGTTTTACCAATATCCCCAATTATTTTTTTCTTTTGCCCCTCGGCAGGATAATTCTAGCGCTCCAAGTATATTTCTAACATGAAACAAAAATCTCCGCATAAAAATTCATCGACGGTTCGTAGGCGGCTGAGAGTAAATTGTTGGTTTCTCCTTGTGTTGGTAAGCATCAAGAGCCATACCACGAATTGGTAGAGGAGCGCGGAAGAAAATCGCTTCAGCGGTTGCGCTCTATAAATAACAAATACCAACGGTCTTACTACTTTGCAACACGCGTTCAACACTAAGCTACGGTAGTACGACAATCAGTTACGATATATTTGGACAATTAAGCTGCCATAAATTGTAGAAGCCAACTGAATAAACGCTTGATTCAATGCAACACAGCCGTGGTCTGGGTGTCTGGGCAAGACCTGTGTCCAAAAGTGGATGCAAAAAATATTAAAATATCTTAACTTTCTACTGTAGATCGGTTCTCTATTAGTTAATGGGTCTTCTAGGGGAAGGAATGGGCTATTACGCTAATGATGTTTGCCGCAGCCGCAGCGACGAAGAGCAGGGGGAGTGTGTGCCTTGACATCAGCGTGATACAAGTTCCTCGGGCTTGAGCTCCTAGTTTCTCGTTGAGCCAGCTTCAGCTGAATTTGGTAATCTCGTTGCTATTATAAGACACATGAAATGGTATGACAGTTATTGGTCTAATCGCCTTGGTCACTGATTAACAATCACAACTCAACTCAACTCAACTCAACTCCGTCGGCACTCATGATTTCCAATTCAAATTTATTACAATTCAAAATCCATTTAGTGATAAACAAATCTTTTACGTTTTTTATTTCTATATTTTTTTTGAAAATTTACGGTCTTTAGTAAAAGTCCGTAGTACGTTTTGTTGGCATCAAGCTACGTTGGTCTGTATGTATGCAGGTATGTAATAGAGAAACTGTTGCGTAAGTATGTGCTAACTTCCAAAGCGTTTTTTATGAAAGGAAACACTAAATAAATTTAAGATTTTTACGCACGCAATACAAATAGACTTCATGAACAACAAACAAGCTCTTACATTTGTAAATATGTATGTACGTATGTACATATTTATGCGCAGTTGTGTCTCGCACACTTCTCATTTTATGACGCGCAAATCAATGTGAAAACTCAAGTGACGTATGCAAGATCACTTTGCTTGGCATAATTTTCATTTCATTATTCGAAAACAACGTGGATTGAGTGACATTTGAAAATAGTTTTAGTATTTCAATTACTTTCCCATTTCCGGTCATCCGGTCATGTTTTCAATGAACTCTTTGCTCCAACTATTAAATAGATTTTTTTAATTATACAAAATAACTACATATTAGCCGAACCGGTCAGCCCATTTTTGTGGCTTTTTGTATTTGGTCCAATTATTATTCCATAAGCATCATCCAAGTCAAAGAGCCATCGCCTACTGCCAAATGAATATTTGCTTCGCGTTCAGGTTATAGAAAAAATGTCTAAGGTCGTCCCCCGGCAGGGAATGTCAAAATCACTGAGTGGATTTCGGACATAAGTAAAATGCTGCTGTTAAAAATCTATCGCCCGTTCGGAGGCCACAAATTGGGGGATGAGCTCGGCTACAGTTAGAATTGCTTAATTCATATGAAATATGCACCATTTTCCTCAATTTCTATTTGCCATTTTGCAGACAATACCATTATGCTTCTCTCATAAAAACCCTTGTCCCTCTTGGCAAGAAATTGGCACTATTGACTTTTACAGGCTTCTCTTGAGGTCAATTCTTCATCAGCTAAACTATTTGCCATAGACAAGAACAGATTGTAATCATTTTGTGCGAGGTCTGGACTATGAGATAGATGCATAAGAACCACCCATCTTCCTCGAGTCACTATCGATGTGGCAATGTCCCGGTAAAACACAACTCCACACTGTTTGCCAATGCTGGACACTTCTAGGCGATTGCTTTTCAGTTGGTTCAATTACGGACAGTACATCTACGAACTAAGAGTTTGGCCGTATGGAGCAGCTCAGAGTAGATGATTTCTTGTCAATCCTACTAAATACACAACGAAACGTTTCAGGCACTTAAGTCTGGCTTAGAGACCATTTGTGTCGTCCCACTGAGCTTCGATAACGACCGTTTTCATTTGAAGTTGCTGTAGATGTTAGACTTTTCATCACAAGTCAACAGGCACCATCTGCTTTAGAAATGAGCCGCTATTTTTAAATTTGGTCCATGAGAGTTTTTCTCGTTAAAATTTGCAGTACTCATACATCGTATATCATACATTGTATATCCAGCCATTCTTTTGTACAATGTGACGCTCCTCTATAAGTACTCGCTTCATGATCAGATTGGACGATTTCCATTACTTTACCGACATAGTCAACAATTTGCCTTGCACATCATGGAGCATCTAAATTATCTCAATGAAATTTTGCATGACTGACTCTTACAGTAACAGGACCTTAAAAACTATTCACATTTTCAACTACCTGACTGGCGTTTTCGCCCTTATCGAAGCGTAATTGAGGAATTTCCTCTTTTGGTGGTTTCCATATTTCGCATCCGCTTAAACACTACTCAGGGATCAACATTTCTCCCGTAGCATAGTAACAATGCGCAGCGAACATAACCTACGCACGGTACGATCTACTATTATTTTTTGTCAATATATCGGCGATCCCTTTCCCGTATTAATTATATATCGAACAAATCGAACTTGGTTCCAGGTCCCTGTTTAACTTCCAGCAAATAAAAGTATTCCATTGAGATATCATCCAAAAATTCAACTACAACGAACAATGAATGCGTATATTTTTTCAAATAGATCGATCCTTACCTACTTACTTTACTAGCGACGAGACCGCTTACGCGATTATAGCCGATTTAACAAAATTGCGCCATTCGTTTCTTCTTTTTGCTGTTTGGGGCCAATTGGAAACACCATGTACAGCCAGGTTCTTCTCTACCTGGTCTTTGTAACGGAGTGGAGGTCTCCCTCTTCCTCTGCTTCCACCGGCGGGTACTGCATCGAAAACTTTCAAGGTTGGAGTATTCGCATCCATACGGATCACATGACCTAGCCAGCGTAGCCGCTGCTTCTTGATTCGCTGAACTATATCAGTCTCGCCGTATAACTGGCACAGCTCATCGTTCCATCGTCTGCGGTATTCGCCGTTGCCAACGCGCAAAGGGCCATAAATCTAACGCGAAAGATTTCTCTCGAAAACTCCTAGCGCCGTTTCATCGGAAAATGTCATCGTCCATGCTTCCGCACTATATAGTAGGACGGGAACGATCCACTTCTCGTGATAATAGAATTTCAAGGAAAAATAATTATGAATTCGTGTTTTCTAACAGGACGGTCTCTGGGCCTGATACCGGAATGAAGAGAAATATTTCTCTTAATCTATCAAAAATCCATTTAAGTAATGAAACGATTTTTCCGAATAGGTACACTTCATGAAAAACTGGCCTCGTATAAGCCTTTCCCGCAACCATAGAAACAATCTGACAAAATTTCAAGTCAAGCAGTCCCGGATATTCCAGGATCTCTTCAAAGGAACATCAGATTTGTTTATATTTATACAGATATGTTTACGGTTAGTTAGATTTAACCAAAAAAAAACTCTCTGTGTTTCAAAAATGTTTAGGGTAGATTTTTAGCTTAATTTTTCTGTCATTTTTGGCAATGCCTAATGCAGTATATTTTTGAATTGATTTACCTTTCTCATGTATCTGCTCTTCCGGCAATGTCAATTTTCACTTTTCATGTCACTCATTGGCGTACATTCAAATATACTACACTTGAATGCATTTTGGACGGTTCGATGATTCGACGGTTCTTTCTGTTTTCACTGCACCAAATTTTTTGTTGCCGTTGTACTGTTGTTGTTTTCTTGCTGTGAGGGTTTTGATTCTTTTCTGGTTTTTAGAAATTATTTGCTTGCCAAATTTTGTTTGAAATTTTACATTTTCATTTTTTTTTTTGGAAATCTCAGTAGTGGCGATTTTAAATCTAATTTTGTTTCAGCTAATTTGCTCAAATATACAAATTTCCTCTTTCAGTTTATTACACTGTTTGGCATTGAAATCAGATGCGATTTTATTTTAAGTATTTCTGGTAATTGGTGATTTTACTTGCCTTTTGCGGTGAGTTAAGTGCTTTTACATCGTAAAATGAGCGACCTATATCTGAAGCGGATTGTGACTGGTGATGACAAGTGGATCACTTGCAGCAATGTCATATGATCCCTAAGGCAGAACTGACGACTAGGAAGGTTTTGTTGTGTGGTATCGGCAAAGAAACGTTTACTAGGAGCTGCTCTCCTACAGCCAAACTGTTAATACGGCACTGTACTGTCAGCAAATGGAACGTGAAAAGGAAGTGATCGCCTAGCTTTTTAACCAAAAAGAGGGGAATTGTGTTTTATCAGGGCAACGCCAGACCGTTAAACGCACCAACTGATTACTATCTGTTCCTTTTGACGGCGAATGATTTCGCTGTGAAGAATGAACTCAAGAGAAGCCTTTGAAAATCGATTGTCTTAGTTTTATGCCAGTAAGGATAAGGGCTTCTATGAGAGAGGCATGAGGACATTACTTTCAAAAAAGCAAAAACTTATCAAGCAAAAAACTACATTTTTAACATACATATATATATCTTAATTACAGTAATATTCCCCGTATTGATTTCTTACTACTTTTTCTAATACAAAAATTCAGTTTAAAATAAAAAAATATTTTTTAATTGAAATTGAGCGATAAATGAACTGAAGAAATTTGAACAATTTCCTGCGCGAAAATCGCATTGAATTATACATACCAAAGCAAGTAATTATTTACTTATACTTAACTAAATATATCTACATACGAGTACTCGTATATATTATATAATATATGTAGGTAATTAATTAACAATATTTGAACTGCGGTGATAGCAGCAGAACGACCAGTATGACTATTTTTTTATGAATGAACGCAGTGGCTAATTAATTTTTTTGTGTACTTTTTTATGTACGTATATATATATGTATATGTATGTTGCTAGGAATTTAAAAATGTACACGCGATATTTGTTAGTGTAAAATCAAAGCGCAGGCGGAAAGCTCTTAAGTTCGCATTTTTGTTTGACTTGTTGTTCATTTGTTCACTACTAAAGTCGATATGATTTACATGCCATTGAGTATAAGTATATAAGTATTGTATGTATGTATATATGTATGTACCTTCACACTTAAACAATAATCCTTATCAGTTGCACGATCAGTGGCACGAGTTTGAAGTTAAATAGCTTTTGCATTACCCATTATCAGCATGTGATAATCGAATATTTATTCTTATCAACTTGTGCTTTGTTTACTTAAACATTTTCTGGCTTTTAAAAATATCGATTCAGTAGCATATCAATTTAGCGAGATTAATTAGAGATTATTATTTGTTTTTCAATTCTTTTTTTTCCTTTCAGCTGCTACGCCAAATACTTTACCAAGGGGACTCAAACGTGCTTAGAAAAGATAATAGAATCCCTCACTTAAACTCTCTCGGAGTTAGTTAAACCACTGCCAAGTATACTCTCTCACTTTTTAAGAGGTCTCTGGGATATCTTGAGTAGTAGATTTAGTTGCTAGTCCTCCTCTTCTATGAAACTGGTTGATATATGGTTAGCTAGCAAGACAACCGAAGGCCTTTATACCCAATTCAACGGAGACTAAGTTTCTTCCTTGGAGGTAAAGGTAGAAAAAAATATACATATATATGTAATATGTAAAGCTGTTTGGTCGTTCATAAGCGAACTTGAAAGTGCTGCTACATTGCAGACAATTCATACCCGAAATGTTTTTGTGGACAGCCGTTCCTGGTTTGCTGCTTTATGGGTTTAGTTTGAGAAAGAACAAGACATTTAAAGCGAAAATTGAAAATAATTTTCTTATTCCCTTCTAGTTCGCTTCCTTATCGGTGATGTAAGTCTATATCTCTTTTATTTGAACAAATCTACTTCGTTGTCTTGCAGATACGAGTAGATATGGATTTTCATCTGTTCTGAGCCATTTTTTTTTTAACTGTAAGCAAAGCTATCTTTTGTATGGTCCCAACAGACAGACGGAGCGAATACCGCCGAATTCCTTAAAAGTGCAATAGCTCCCGTTTTGGGTAACTCATCAGCTTATCGTTTGACGAAAATGATTTTATGCACTCAAAACCTTGAAGCTTAGATATACTGACAGCTAAGCTTCCTTGATGGTGTCATCAAACAATATATCAAGGTTTTGAGTGAGTGGTTCCTGTATCCTTTTTTCATTTTTATTCAATATACGCAGGTTTATATGCCTTTTCTATGCCAGGTATCGCCGCTTGGAAAATGGTAGATATGTCTGTTATCGAAAGAGAAAGGGAGAAAGAGCGAAAGATGTTGAGACCTTCGAAGTATACCACCGCCCCACCTCGCTGTTTAATGTCAAGCTATCCGTATAGATTTCTATGATGTCCTGTTCACCTACTAGACCTTTTGTCCATTCACTTGGAAGCAACTGGGAGGATATTGTCTGGTTCTAAGAAAACAATTTCTTAAATCTCTAAACATATCATGCTACAACTTCGGAAACGAAATCCGCCCATGAAATGTTTTATCTTATTAAGCTGTGTGCGAAAAGTGCATATACAATATTATCTACATCAGAAAAAACATAATTAGTTTAAAGAAAATATTTATTGAAAAAGCAAGTGACAACTGAAGTTCGAAGACACGAAAAATATGTTTGAAGGAATAAGAAATCGCTTCGCTTAGCATTTTTCATTGTCATTTTACTGCATTTATATTGATTTTTCCGAGTTTTATCGACATACAGTGGTATGGTTATGATTTAAAAATCAAAACAAACGACCTGTACTCAGTTTTGCCCCATCCGTAATTCGCTCATATTTTTGCTCTTCTTACTTTCTTATCAGCAATAGACGTGCAGATTTACCTTAAGTGCCTTATTTATTCGTTGTCAGGATTCAGAAAATCTCTTCCACTAGTTTATAGTTGATTTGTTGAATTTGGAACTTAGTCTCTAAATTTTCACTGAAAATGGCGAAGCTGTCTTCTGATAAAGAAAATAGTATTATCTCCCAGACTAAAAGTGGGTGTTCGACACGCACTATTGCTGATAAGCTGCAAATTAGTAAATCAGTTGTTGTCAAGGTGCAGAAAATATAAAATATGGAATGGTCGCCGTTGCCTTCTAACAGACTCTAAAACTCGACTTATTATGTCTAAACTGAGAAAAAATAGACTTTTAACGAAATAAATAAATAAATAAAGGCGTGAGTCGATGGACAACCAGAATAGCGCTTGGTAGGATTGGGTACGTCACAGCAGTGAATAAACAAGCCAGCTTTATCCGAGAAAAATGTTAAGGCTCGGCTTAAATTCGCCAAGGAACGCAAGAACTGAACAAAGGAAGACTGGAAACGTGTTATCTGGTCGGACGAATATACGTTTAATCGTTTTCAATCGGATGGAAAGCAATACTGTTGGCGTAGACCTGGTGGCAAGCTTCAAAGGCATCATGTAAAACAAACCGTGAAACATGGAGGTGGTAACATAATGGCATGGGGATGTTTCACACATACGCACGTTGGATGCTGCACAAAATTACCGGGATTATACGAAAGGAAGACTATTTGAGCATTTTGAAAACCCCTTTTCCCTTCTCCCCTTCTTGACCAGTGTGCGTACCCAGAGAAGAAAGTCACTTTTCAGCAAGATGGAGATCCCAAGCGCAGAGCGAAAATTGTTAAATGGCTCGGAAACCAAAATTTTAAGATGATGGAGTGGCCAGCGCAAAGTCCTTAACTCAATCCGACTGAAAACCTATAGTCAATCGTAAAGGGCTGCACGGAGAGTATCAATCAGCCCCATCCAACTGGAACGATCTTTGGGGGCGAAAAATTAATAGAAAGTATGTCATAAAAATCGCTTCAGCAGTTACAAATTGCCAATTATATATATACGTATACATATATTGTATATAGATAGGTATATATATAAAGATCCAGATAACCCAAAAGGTTACCGATTGACTTGAAATTTTGTAAAATTATTACTATGGTTTCTAGATAAGTTTGTTCGACGACTGACCTACTCGAGGAAAAAGAAAATTTTTGATTTTAATTCAAATTCAGTAAATAAGTGGCTTTTTGCTTGGATCAGCAGAAAAACTACGCTTGCATCCTATACGAAAAAAAAATCGTCTATTTGGTTCGATTTACTTGAAAATCTTTTATTACAACGAGTGGATCAATCTATTGGAAAAAAAAGTACAGATTTACGGTTCATAGCTAAGTTCTTGGAGGATGTGCTTAAATCGAATACTTTTGTTTCTTGGACATAGACTAGAGACCTGTCACCGAGACCGATTTGAGACAAAAGTGAGTATGATTCGGATGTAAGCATAGATCATAGAGCGTAGGTATGTTCGTTTCGCATTTTTTTTATTCTGCGGCTGCGGGTTGCGAATGGTGCCTCGAGGCATTTATATTGATAAATTTGCGAAAGGCTTTGAGCAACAACGAAGAGCCACATTTATATAGATAAGTAGTTATAAAATAATATAATAAGAACATTTATATTTTGATCGTTCTTCACTTACCCTCGCATACAAATTGGACAAAATACAGAAATCCACAGCAACGTGTGGTCGGAACTGCTAGCTCTCAATAGATTTTTACATAAGATTAGATAGATAAGGTTCTTATAATTAAATTTCATTAAATTACGCTTTTATAAATATTTTATTGAATTTTAATTTCACTTTAAATTGCTGTAGATACGTATAACAAGTTGAATTTCACTTGTAAATCACTTGTTTTGCAAAGTCATCTGCTCATTTGATATACCTATATGTGTATACATACTTCTATATATATATAGATATTTGCATATACTTGTACATATGTATGTACATACTTAAATAAATTTTATTTTCCTTGCCATGTTGGGTTGGCAAGTGAT